TTGCAGCAGCTTTGCATCATCTGTGCAACACAACTGAGCTTCTGTGTCGTGCGATGTTGATATAAGGTCCGTGCAAGTCACAAAATGTTAAACGCAGGCGAGTAGTTTGATTACAGGGAGACCAGCTGATTTATGCAAGAGAAATCCTCCATTTTAAGTCGAGAAAAGAAGATATTCTGCAGCATGGGATGATTTTTCTGCAGAAAGAAACCATTATTGACAAATCAATCAACAGTTCTGTTTTTAGTAAAGCATGCAGAGCTTCCTCAAGCCGTAATGACCACTACTCTGTTCCACCAACACAATGCAGCAGGTGGTGGCCAGAGCTGCAGTGCGCCCTCATTCCAGACTCATATATTCCACAACACCCTCCAACTGTGGCTAAATACATGCTTTTGGTTTGCTGAGCACGTCAGGCAGTTTCTGCCGAGACCTCACATCAAAGTCAAAACCTGCATCGCTGAGCAGGTCCAGCATATTTTAACTAGAACCAACTGGAAATGGTTTCTATTTGTATTGAGAAAATGCAGAGAGAACATTACTTGGGTTGGGGCGCATCGTCTGTAAGAGCTGAGCTGAATGTAGGCCATCCATGCAGAATGATCAATTACAACACAGTTATTTCCATCAGATATTATCTGAGGCCATAAAGTCCTATTTAGTCTCGTGCTCTGGGAGGACTTAAAGTGGCTCTGGCAGGCTCCGCTTCACTGAATTACACACACGCTATCCTGTAATTCACAGACCTCACATACAGAGCACACCAATGCATTACTCTTTGCACTAACAATTAACCTCCCAGTAACTCTACTCAGAACTGTTGCTTTAAAAAAAAAAAAAACAAGTGAATGATACACACCCTGGGTATTTTGCTGAATTACCATGAGTGCAGCTTCACTTCACTGGAAGCACAGAGGAACAAAAACATTGTTTTTGTAGTCATGGTTATGCACCGCTGAAATTCTGGTGTTGAGATTTAACCTTGAAACAACCACCTATAAATCACAGCAGAAAGTGCATGATTAAAGGCATGGGTATATGAAAAAAATACAAAATGCATTAACTAAAATCATTTTCTAACTCTTTCTGAATAATGTGCTTGGAGATCTGAACTCAAATTCTTCATCTGGGGAAAAAAAACAACAACCCAACACCGTCCGGAAGCACCATAATGAATGGAGTGACACTTGAAGGAGGAAGCTGTGGACTCTGTGGCACCTTCCGGCACTGCACTGGCACAGACAAAGTGTTCCAACGGTGTGCAGGTTCTGTTCATCTCCTTGTGTCTTGACACTGAATTCTCACGCTGGGCATCTATTCTCACAGGGTCACAGCAACATGTGTTAATTTAATCTAGGGTGCCCTATATACACCTGTGGCGATTTTTTACCTCTGGCGTGGGGACATACTTTCCCCTTGAGGAGGAGCTGTAGTGGTAGTGCAAATGCCAGAGTCACCATCAAAATGCTATGCGAGTGCTGTGGTACTGAGAAGACTACTAGGAAAATATGATTGAATGATAAGATGACCACAGACTGTACGATGGACGATGCGTCTCCACTTTCTCCTACTATCCACAAATTAAGCCTAAATATCCCCATCATGCACCGATTACATCTTTAGGAGTCTTTGCAACTGAGATCAGGGGATGGAGTCGCAGTAACGAGCTCCCACAGATACACATGCTCGACCAATCGGGAATCAGTCTCACCTGTCAATCGTGACATTTCACCATGTTTATCTAGCGTCAAATAACTAATTAACACCAAACTTGCTGGATAAAAGAAGCACTTGAACATACGTCAGTGTGATAAGAACTAACTGAAAGGACAGAAACCACCAGAAAAGCTGACTGATGTTTTTGGCCCATATCTCATCCACTAGCACGGAGAAGGTCTATACTGCAGGCAGCCACCAGGGGGGAATCAAGACACTTTGGCTTCACTTTTGTGGAACCGTCAGAAATGTACATATTGTGCATATCAGTGATTTTTCTACTACCCTAGGGGGGATTTGGCAGATTGCTTGGTTCACAAAAAACCCTGATTTGAAGTGATGCAATTTCTACACAATGACAATCCAGCATGTGATTGAACATGATGTGTTGAACCCTGACTATCACGGGATCTTTGAGTTATTGTACATTCATTCTACTTAGTGTATAAGAGGGCAGAGCGCTGATGTGGAAGTAGGTCTTAAACTCACATTTGCATATTTATTTTGAGATCCTTATTAGCATCGGCAAACATGACCATCCAGCATAAGGGGGTGGGCTAAGTAATGGAAGAGAGCAAGGCAAATGTTTCATAACAAACTGAATTGATTCCCAAGTTCAAAACTGTGATCTCATCCAATGATTCAAGATTGTGCAGTCATCTCGACTTGTCTCATGTTGGAAAACATCCAACCATCTATTATGCTGTTTGCGCTATGGCTCGGAGGAGAACATGACGTCAATGGAGGCAGCAATCTTTCAAACTTTTACTTTCTCTGCCTAAAAGACGAGAGCAGCGGTGATGAGGGGCGACTGTCATGATGCCACTGATCTGACATCGCTCGGAGGGGCGACTGATCAATGACTGCGTCTCCGGCACCAGAAAGTTGAGTGTGAACAAATTCTTTCTGTTTCACTTTTTTCCAGTAATGTGGACGATATCTGTGTTTATCTCACTGCACAGTCCCTCTGACAGGAGGACGAAGGGAAGAAGAGATCATGTACAATGTGGCATGAATACCGTAATGGCACAGCAGCAACTCAACAGCTATTTGCAGCTTTCAGCTCATTGTTTTTTGGTTTGACAGTCCATATGGTTGAAGCCCTGAAAAATAAAACTGCGGGAAGCCATTTTTCAGCAAACACAAGTTGATTGTACATTACCTGCCCAGCACGAAACAGCTACGATCAAAAGTAAACAAAAGGCCAGTGAAGACAGTTGAACATTTCACAAGCAAAAATGAAAGACAAGTGACAGAATAAACAAAACCCTTCTATACCAGGGAATGGAAAGAATTTGTTTTAAAGTTTTGATAAGTATAACTTATTTCAATTTTATAGACTTGCTGTTCTGACATTGTCGTGGTCAGGAAGCCTTTATTTTCAAATGATTCTCATTTGGGTAAAATGATGATGTTTCTTTCTGACTTACTGCCTCAGCTTCTCTCGGGCAAAGGAAACAACCTTTCAATAGAAGAATGCACAAACCTGTAATCATTTTTCCACACAACGGGCATTCGGCTTAGGAAATATCGCCAGATAGCGCAACTAGGTTAGGCCCTCCAGCCTGTGCTGACTCCTATTGTATGCAGTTATTCGGCTGTCACTAATTATAGTCCAGAGGGTCGCTGCTATGAGTCTTCAGGGTTTCTTGATGCTTCTGTTGCGCAGACGCCACATTGCAAATTGTTGAGCCGGCCACTGTAATTTGTCAGGAAACACACTGACTCTCTCTCTTTTATCTTTTAAATAATCATAGTCTCGCTATCAGATATAAGTATATACATTTTATTTTATATCATGCAAATGCTAAAGATTGAACAGCTAAAAGGTACTAAAAGGTTGCTGGTTTCTCAGTTTGTCAAACCAAAGTCCAGTGAGGAGCAGGACGAAAAATACTTTTTGTGTACAACTTATTCCACTATTTAAGTTTAGTCGAACCAAATCGAAGATCATATTTGTTCCTCATGTTCACAGTGTGTGTGTGGTTTAGAAAATCAGCTGCATCTAATGCGACCAAAGCATCTCTGATCCCTGGGTTAGTAATTTGGGTGATTGTGGATCTCGGGGTTTGCTTAACCATTATAAGATTTAGGGAAAGTAAATAAGCATTTTTGCAAAGCACCCAAAGCAAAGGAGTAGAAATAACATGCTGAGGGTTTCTTCCACTCTGGAGAAGGAGGATATTGATCCTAATATTAGACAGTATTTTCACTAGAGCATTAGATTTTTAAAAGCGAGTGTCTTTATTGTTTTTTTAACACAAAGTTTAGGGAAATGGAAATGATTTGCAATGAAAGCCAAATTATTTAACTATGAAAAGTTTTTGATTTCATGTTTATATCTACTAGAGGCTGAGAATTTTTTTGTAAATGTTGGCAATTCTGTCGGCTCTTCAGAAACCCCTCAGGTTTCGGGTGGTTGTCTTCAAACAACGCTTAGGTTTTGGGGTGAGTTTTTATTTAGGGCTTTGGGTCTTGTTGGGATAAAGAGTGTTGCATTTTATGTTACTTTTATCCTTGTTATGTTTTTAAGCTGCCCGCATCTTTCAGAGTTAACCAGCCTGAAAAATGTTTGGTTAACTCTAAACCTGCAGGACTTTCTGAAGGCTGTAGTAAAACGCTCCCGCTGCCCACAGAGGAAACTAATTTGTTACAAGTGAAGTTCTGTGCTTCTCCTCCCGACGTCATTACTGCAGAAATTAACCAGGGAGAAAATCTGTCAAACAGCCAAGACTTACAGCTGTCACAGACGATGAGCTCCAAAAGACTGAAGTCTGAAAAATGTCGACTGTCAGAGGAAATAATTATGTGGCAAGAAGGAGAGCGGGAGAATCAGCTGACCAGTGGGAACTTTAACGATTTACGCTGTGTACGCTGTCAGATGGCTACGGGAGGATGGGGAAAATGAAGTTTGCGATCGCTCACAAAAATGTGAGGGGTCATTTCCAGACACACTTGATCTAGTGAGCACTTCTGGATCTCCAGTAAGGATATATCAAATCTCTGGATCACCAGTGCATCTTAGTTGCATTTGCACAACGATTTTCCCGCGTTTCATCGCCCAAAGAACACGCTCTGTCAGGCCGGACACAGAACAAAAAGCATGCTTGAATGAAAATGACCCCAAGGTTAGCAGTTAGAGGGGAAGGGCAAAGAGAGGAAATATCGATGTTGTGAAAGTAACCAAATGCATCACACACACACACACACACACACACACACACACACACACACACACACACACACAGACAAACAGACACACAGACAAGCACCATCACGCTCACCTGCAGTGCCTGTGAACCCCGGCCACCGTTTCAATGATTGAGCATTCACCCTCGTTCAGACAGAAGGCCAGGTCCTTATCTTCCACACAAGGCTTGAAGACTTCCGAACGTGGACTGGGGAGCGTGGGGGCCACTGCTGCAGACAGAGGGAGACAGATTTAGTTACAGTTAAACAATTCTCATTTCTTTCAACTTTGCTTCTAAAATCGTTGCAAACTCGCACATGAACATTTCTCATTTCTTTAATCTCTTTGATGTGCCACTGGTTGTAGTTTCTTCTACACTGATTTTTGTTTTTGGACTAATTCAACTGCTCTCTGCAGATTTTAAGAGACGACTTCATTCCTTGTTGATTTCTGAAGCTCATTAGCTAAAGGCAAGAAGGCCAACGGAACAACTCCCTTCATTATGGACAGGGAAAAGTGCCTGAAGATTTTTAACTTAAACCCTGATGCAATAGAGGAATCATGATGTAAATCAAACCCCAGAGTCATCAATGCTATCAACAATGCACTGTTTGTTTCGTGTGAAGTCGTTTAACCTCACTTCTTCAATGAATTTCCCCATCTGGTCGCTTTGGTAAACACAGAAATAAATAATAGAGGTGAAGACATAACGTTACATCACACAGAGGCAGGGCACAGTGAGAGACGGGCCCCGGTGATGCAGCCTTTAATTCTCTTCTTCCAGTCTGACCCTGAGCTGCTCTCGCATCACGAGCATGGCTGCCGTGCACGAGCACTGCAATGCAGGGTTCTCCCCCCTGTGAAATATGCACAGCTGTCAGGCATGTGGCCACAGCGACACCCAAACGTTGTGCATGCTAGCATGTGCAGCCACACGCAAAATGCACAAGTGCACTGGCACACACATATATAGTGATTATCACTCAGCAGCACTTTCATTCCATGATGTAATCAAGCATTGAAAATTGGATTGACTGGTATTATGCTCAATACCTTGACAATACAATAGGATTACACATGTGACTTTGCTTTCATCCATTTATAATATGCACAGCGACACATGTGCGCACACACAACATATTCTTCCAACTGTCATATCTCTGTCATCCTTTTGTTTGTCGGCCAAATCTTTGTAGCCCAAGCTGCTTTATGTGCCGGCCACTGGCCTTTTGTCAGCTGAGGCTCTAGCGACCAATCGCATGCAGGAGAGTAAAAACTCGGTAATCTCTCTTTTTTTTGTGCCCCAGTGTCCAGTTCAATCTGTGTTTTGTTTATGGCCATTGATTGATAAATCTGGGGCTCTTGATGTTAGGCCCCAGAGATGATGAAGGATCAGAGGGAACACAAACTGAGATATGTGACGCTCCTGGGACCGACCAAAACTTTGGAAGATATCGTTCCTGCCACTTAAATGAAGCAGCTCACACCAGATGTGCAGATGCATGTGGGTTCTACATGCGAGGACGTACCTAACAGGTAATACATGCACAATCTGTATCTGTTGCACGTCTTGCTTTGCGAATGCTAATTTTTGGATCACTTCTCATTCATCAGCCCCTAGAGTTTGATGCATATGAAAGCAGGCCATGAACCTGAGCTGACTCTTTCACTCTCTAGGCTTTAAAACACACAGCATCACATCTTGTAATATTAATTCCACAAATTCCCAGGGTGGATTGTTCATAAGGTTATCTATTTCAGGATGAAACTTTAATAATAGAAAATAGAACACAACTCCCTCCTGTGGTATGCACGTCTGCCGCAATAATTGTCATGGCATTAAAAGTCCCTTGCAGCTTTTATTCAGACAGCGGCAGTGACCACAAGCGAAAAACTGCACATTTGATATACAAAGACAACGTTCGCTATTTTAGGTCAGCGGTTCAGGTTTAAGCACACGGGGCAGAGCTGTTCAGTCAAAAGCCAGAATTGATTTTGTGCTGTAAGCCTAACCATTGATATATTTACATTAGAGAAGCCAAGGTCATGCAGATACCAAACACCCTTTTAGTACCTGTATGAAGAAATTTTATCTGTGCTCGGGCGATTCAAAAACTTTCTTTTCAAAACTTGTCATCTTGTCTTTTTCGACCAAAAGAGGTTGGAGGAGAAAGCTCTCGCTCTCTCTCGTATGGGAAATGTTTCAAGCTCGCCATCATTTCATTTGTCACATGTTAGTGACAGAGCAGAGGGGTGGAACGTGAACTACACAAGGTCATCTCCGTAGCAATGACACAGCACTTTGGGGAATCGATGATGATGTATGATGTCCCCATATATTTTTTTATATAGCTTCCAGAAAAACTCCAAGGGACATTAGTGCAGCACCTTTTGTATATCGCTTCTTTTTCAGACAGCAGATGTGCCAGTTTCGTACCCAGAGAGACAAGAGTATCTTAAATTAAACATAGCACAGCAAAGTTTGAATGAGAAATAATTTCTAGAATGGGTTGATCTCAGTGGCGGATCTAGGATTTTTATAAATCAGGGGCCATGAAGGGGCCACAATTTACACAGAGGGGCAGATTATATTACCAACACCCATGCACAATTCCTGATTCAGTAAGGTGCACATTAAAGTGATACCTTGTCTACTTTTGGCGCCATAGTTTCGATTATCTTCTTCATTTAATAGTGACCAATACCCGTAACAAATTCAAATTCACTTCATGCTTGTCTGCACTAATTACCAAATCTGCAAATTAAAATAAACATGTTCTAAGAATCACCTCCACTCTTTTAGCCCTGTTGGCCACATCAAGGAACAAGTCATCTTCACATACAGTATGTTTGGCCTCCAGCAACACAGGCTGTCAATTTCTTACTGCTTCTCTTTTCATCACTGTGACAGGCAAGAAATGGTAAAAAATCAGCAAAGTAGCAAGTACAATTTTTTTTGAACGAGCATCTGTCAAACATTCTTTAAATATTCCCCTGCCAGAAAAAAAACTGCGATTTAAGAATGCAATTAATCAGTTTCTTGAGTACGACAAAGCAGAAAGGCGAAAATGTGGGTTTTCATATATTTTGATGTTTTCTGTGTTGTCATATGTTGAGTATGAAGTGATTGGTATCAACATAAACCCAGTAAGAGATTCAAGCCGTCAAACCAATTAAGGGGGAATTTTTTTGCTCGTTTTGATATTAAATTAGTAATGAAATCACACTTTTTTAAATGAATCTTTATCTTCATTATTGAGGTGATAGCTACTAAATGATGTGTCCCTTGCTTTTAGTGATTATTGAGATGTAGAGTCACGACTAATTATGACGAACACACCATACAAGTTGCCACTAGGCTCATTTTTCAGCACTTCTAATGAAGCCTCCTTTTTCTCAAAATAAAATCGTCCTCATGCAAGCCTCTAGCAATCTCTATTAAACACAGCAACCGTTTGGTTGCTGTAAAAAAATAACAGCATTGTGGAAAATGTGCTAATAAATGGCAGCTGCATTGGGAGCGTGATTCATCCTGGACTCTTTGAAATCATTTTCACGTCTCTCACTCTCCCCGTTGCACAAAGGCAATCCAGATTGCCAATTCCCTTGGTAACTTTCAAGGAATCCACCGGCTGGGGATCACAGATTCACATGATGCTTGAGAGATCAGAGTTATCTGAGAGGAATACTGAGCCTAGCACTTCTGCTCAGTCGTTACTGTTGGATCGCCAAAATCTTCAAAAAGGCTTTTAGCTTTAGGTAAATGTAGGATTTTCTCATTCTGATATGTATTTCTGATGGGGGGGGGGGGCTTCATTACTAAGAGATCTGTTATTGTAGCATGAAGGTTACAATCACTAAACAACTAAGGCAAACGTCCCGTGAGTTGTAGCTAGTGAATCAAAAATTAGAGTGAATGTAAATATGCATGCGTGCTCGGATTACAAATGATATTACCACGGAAAACCACACATCACACATTATGTTTTTTGTTCAGAAAAAGTGACAGCACTTGATGTTTTTATCTGTGAATGCGCAAACATGAAGCTAATCAAAGTGCAGAAAAACATCTCGGTATCTGCAGATGTTGCACAATGGAACATAGATATGTGTGTTTGCCTGAACTCTGATCCTTTACAGAAGGAAGCAAACTCAGTTCCATTAAACAAGAATCATTTTTAATGAATACACTCGCTTTAACACAGCAAAGGAAACCTGCCTTATTGTTGAATGTTCTATTCATGATGCTTTGTGACTGTGATCGTCAGAGAGGCATAAGTCAGCTCTGTTTCACAGTCCTGCTTTTCACATTTTAGCTCAGATGCATGATTACCTTCAACTGTTAATTATAGTGCAACTGAAAGCAGTAGTTGTTTTCCCGTTTTTATCTGTTATTACTTGAATCCTCTTTTAAAACCTTGCATTACAATTCCATGAGGTTAGGAGAGAATTTTCACAAAAGAATAACTTTGGTGCAATTGACTAATGGACTCCTCGGTATTGTATATGCCCTGCTCATGCAGACGCTGCTATATGCATGTAGTGAGATGAATTCAGACACACTCTAGACAGAGCCTCCTTGCTACAGACAACACAAGAGACAATTCCATTTACAACTAGCATTTTCCCTCTATGGCTTCCTTCTAATGTGCTCATTAGTGTTCTTGTGCTGAGCCTTATCCCCCAGGAGACAGTGGTCGGGAGAGAACCGCCTGTGTTTACTGCAGTACACATCAAAGAGAGCCTTACTACGTAAAGGGAGAGTCCTGAGAGAGCCCGCTGATTGCTTACCCATCATGCACTGCTGCCTTTTGGACAGAACAATATTCAGAGAAATATATAGTCCAGTGGATATGGACAAAAAAATTGGCCTTGACAAAACAAAATACCAACTTACACACAAGCAGACATAGTTTAACTGCACTTTAAAAAGTAAGATTTGAATGTGCCAATCATTAATAAATGAAGTGATGCTACTTCAGATATTCAGGGATTCATTTCTAAGCATTCTTATCATCTCTGAGATACAATTTTCCCTCATAAATGTGAAAACAACAGCAGCTAAGCTAACAATTGTGCTTATGATGCTCGACTGAGCCGCTGAGCTCCATCACAAAGTTAATTCTAATGACTAAACATTATCATTTTCACTTAAACGCTACTATGCATTGCATTAGTAAGAGGTCAATAAAGTAAGAGACAATGCAAATCAATGCGTCTAATCTTTAAA